CCAGCTGCAGCCCCCTCCACGCTGTGACCCCGCCCTCCAGCCGCAGCCCGGCCCCAGCCGCAGCCCCTCTCCACGCTGTGACCCTGCCCTCCACGCTGTAACTCCGCCCTCCAGCCGCAGCCCCGCCCCAGCCGCAGCCCCCCCTCCGCGCTGTCACCCCGCCCTCCACGCTGTAACTCCGCCCTCCAGCCGCAGCTCCGCCCCAGCCGCAGCCCCCCTCCACACTGTGACCCCGCCCTTCACGCTGTAACTCCGCCCTCCAGCCTCAGCCACGCGGTCCCTGCGGTTACCAAGGCATCCTGGCCGCCGCAACCGCGGGCTCAGCACTAGACACAACAGTGAGGGAAGGGACAGAGGCAGTGCTGAGGGCAGTACAGCCACGTGGGCCGGCCACTGCCCTTGCACACATCTTCAGCCGCCTGCTCCCTGGCGTCGTCCTAGCTCCAGTCCAGCTTCCCCACGTTCTGAAGTGCAAGCCGACCTGCCACCCCGCTGCGCAGAGCCCTGTCCCCCGGGTCTAGTGTCAGTCCCTTCCGGGGTGCGGTGTGCCCTCCTGCCCCTGCCTCAAGGCCTACATGTCCGCTCTGCACCTGGACGGCTAGTGTTCCAGAACGCCACGCCCTTTTCTTTCTTTTTTTTCTTTAATTAGAGTCTCGCTCTGTCGCCCAGGCTGGAGTGCAGTGGCGCGATGTCGCTCACTGCAACTGCCGCCTCCCAGGATCAAGCGATTCTCGTGCCTCAGCCTCCCGAGTAGCTGGGATTACTGGCGTGTGCCACCATGCCCAGCTAATTTTTGTATTTTTAGTAGAGACGGGGTCTTGCCATGTTGGCCAGGCTGGTCTTGAACTCCTGACCTCGTGATCCGCCCGCCTGGTCCTCCCAAAGTGCTGGAATTACAGGCGTGAGCCACCATGTCTGCACTTTTCTCCCTTCTCCACCCGGCAAACCCTAGCTATCCCCAGGGAACTACTCGGATCTCTCCTGGGGGCCTTTCCCTTTCCTCCTCGGCTTCTCCACCCTCTGTGCAGACCTGGTGAGCTCATGACCTTTTCCTCTGAAACCAGGAGCTTCCTGAGGGCAGGCATCGGGGCTTATTCAACTCAGTACCCCAGTGTTTGGCATGAGGCCAGAAAATTCTTGCATTGTGAATAGATAAATAAGGAAATGATTGGCTGGACAGGGGCAGGGAGAGGAAGCCCAGCTGGGGCTGGGGTGATCAGAGAAGGCTCCCTGGAGTAGACAGTGCCTCCCATTAATCCTTGAGCCCCAAAGAAGCAAAAGGCCAGGTTGGGTGGAGGCAGCCTGAGGCTTCCAGGAGGGCAAGGATGGCCCTGTCCATGGAGCCCGTGGAACCTGCGTCCCCAGGAGGAGGTGGAGCGGGAAATCATCAAGCAGGAGGAGAATGTGGACCCCGACTACTGGGAGAAGCTGCTGCGGCACCACTACGAGCAGCAGCAGGAGGACCTGGCCCGCAACCTGGGCAAGGGCAAGCGCATCCGCAAGCAGGTCAACTACAACGACGCCTCCCAAGAGGACCAGGGTGCGTGCGGGGCGGGAGGGATGGGTGCCCCTCACCAAAAGCGGAGGGTTGTCCCTGTGCGGGACTCCCGGGAGGTGCAGGCCGGGAGACCTGGGTGATCATGCCAGGAGGGACCGGTGCTCCATACCTGGAGGCAAAGGGTGGGGCAGGATTCTGTCAGGGCATCCCTGTGCAGGACCCCAGGAGGTGTGGGCTGGGAATGCTGGGCAGTGCTGGATGGAGCGGGGAGGCAGCTGCTTGGAGGAAAGGGGACTGGGGGCAGGTGCAGGGGTGCTAGGTGTTTGGAGGAATAGGTGTGGAACCAGTTCAGTGACTTCACCACTGCTCGTGACATGGCCTTGGGCAAGCCCCTTGCACACAGCACAGCGTGTGTAATGTGTGGGTGTGCGTAGTACCCTTAGTGTACTACTAGGTGGTGCTGGGATTATTAAATGAGCCCACAGGAAGTACCTAGGCCATTGTCATTGTCACTGCTTTCTTACCAGCTGGGGTGCAAGGGCTTGGCATGGCCCTGGGCATGCTTGAACTTGAGGGTGGGCTTAGCTTGCACAGCTCACTCCATGCCCCTCTGCCTCGCCCCTGCAGAGTGGCAGGATGAGCTCTCCGATAACCAGTCAGAATATTCCATTGGCTCCGAGGATGAGGATGAGGACTTCGAAGAGAGGCCAGAAGGGCAGAGTGAGTCTCAGTGTTGGTGGCCTGGGCTGCCACTGAGGCCGTGTCAGGGGAGCTGATGGTGTCAGGGGCGGGGCTGGCCTGGGGTCCCGCTGCCCTTGGGGTCAGAAGAGGGGGGTCAGGAATCTCTGGGCTCCCACCTGAGGAGCTGTGGCGGGCTGCTCCCCAGGTGGACGACGACAATCCCGGAGGCAGCTGAAGAGCGACAGGGACAAGCCCCTGCCACCTCTTCTTGCCCGAGTTGGTGGCAACATCGAGGTGGGGCCTGTCTGTTCCCATATGTCTTTCTGCTCCCAATTCCTGCTGCCCCTGGGGTACGGAGGAGGGCTGGGGGACTGCCGAGGGCCTCATGCCAGGTAGAGGTGGGGCTGGTCTGGTCTTTGTCACCAGGGTCCTGCTCCAGGTGGCAGCCCCTGCCTTCTCTGTGCCCCTTCCTGCCTTCTCCTCCTCCCGTACCTTTCTTCCTCATCCCAGAATCCTCCACTCCTACCCCGTCTCTGCCCTGGGCTCACACTCCCGTGCTCCACCCGCCCAGGTGCTGGGCTTCAATGCCCGACAGCGGAAGGCCTTTCTGAACGCCATCATGCGCTGGGGCATGCCCCCGCAGGACGCCTTCAACTCCCACTGGCTGGTGCGGGACCTTCGAGGGAAGAGCGAGAAGGAGTTTAGGTAAAGGGGCTAGGTGGTAGCCCAGGGCATGACCACCTGCCTCTGAGGAGGGCAGGCTCCCACGGGTGAGCCTCACAGAGGGCAGTGTCTGCTTCCGCCAGGATGAGGCCTTCTGGAAAGTTCACTGCCATTTGGTCTTTGGGTGGCTAGAGTCCTGGTGCCGGGCAGGGCTGATGTGCAGAAAACACTGACCATCCGCCCCTGCCCAAACCAGCTGGTGTTACAGCAGCGAGGAAGATCCCAGTCAGGGCTGTTCTAGCCGGTCCCCTCGCCAGGGAGGCCCTCTCTGTCCTTTCCCAGGCCTGGCCCTGGAGCCCTGACTGGGAGGTGGGCGATGGTTGATGATCAGCCAGGAGGTCCCCTGGGGTCCTGCCAGCCCTCTCAGAGGGTTCTTGCCGGCCCCCCACTCCCTGAGCCCCGGCCCCCCCCACCCCAGAGCCTATGTGTCCCTCTTCATGCGGCACCTGTGTGAGCCGGGGGCGGATGGCGCAGAGACCTTCGCGGATGGCGTGCCCCGGGAGGGCCTCTCCAGGCAGCACGTGCTGACCCGCATTGGGGTCATGTCACTAGTTAGGAAGAAGGTGGGTGAGTAACTCTCTGTAGGGCCCTTCCTGGTGACTGCCTGGGGTCCTGGCACTGTCCCTTGGGGGTCAGTGGTCAGAGAACAAGTGCCTGGCTCAGGCCACACAGCTGCCCAGGGTCTGAGTCAGGCCAGAGGGACTGACCTGGAAAGCCTTTCTGGGTGAGGGGCCTGAGGGTGGAGGCCAGGATGGTGGATTACAGTTGGGGGACACACAGTGGGTGGGATGGCAGGCAGGGGAGCATTGTGGTCAGGAGGGGCACGCCTTGGCCAGCCTTGGGCAGAGGCAGCAGCTACCCCAAGCCTGTGACACCCGAAGTCCCTGTGGCTGCCCCGAGGCCCTTAGGGCTGAGCCGCAACCACCACCCTCCCTCTTTCGCTCCCACCTTCCCTCCCACCACCCCAGGTTCAAGAGTTTGAGCATGTCAACGGGAAATACAGCACCCCAGACTTGATCCCCGAGGGGCCCGAGGGCAAGAAGCCGGGCGAGGTGATCTCCTCAGACCCCAACACGCCAGTGCCCGCCAGCCCTGCCCACCTCCCGCCAGCCCCGCTGGGCCTGACAGGTCTGTGGGCTGGGCGGGCCAGAGAGGGCACTGGGGTTATGGAAAGTGTCAAGGTCACAGCAATCCCCAGTCTAACCCGCACCCCTTAGAAGACGGCCCCTCCTTCCCCCATGGCCCCTGTTGGCTGAAATGTCACTCTCTAGAGTTTTTCATTTTAATGACAATTTTGAGATATAACTTACATACATACTGCAGTATTTACTCTTAAAAAATTGGCTGGGCCTGGTAGCTCATGCCTGTAGTACCAGCACTTTAGGAGGCCAAGGCGAGGGGATCACCTGAGCTCAGGAGTTTGAGACCAACCTGGCCAACATGGCAAAATCCTGTCTTGGGCCGGATGTGGTGTCTCAAGCCTGTAATCCCAGCACTTTGGGAGGCCGAGGGGTAGATCACAAGGTCAGGAGATCGACACCATCCTGGCTAACACGGTGAAACCCTGTCTCTACTAAAAATATAAAAAATTAGTTGGGCATGGTGGCATGCGCCTGTAGTCCTAGCTACTCGGGAGGCTGAGGCAGGAGAATTGCTTGAACCTGGGAGGCGGAGGGTTGCAGTGAACCGAGATCTCACCACTGCACCCCAGCCTGGGGTCACAGAGCAAGACTCTGTCTCAAAAAAAAAAAAAAAAAAAAAAAAAAAGTGCTATTCAGTGATTTCTAGCATATTCACAGGGTGTACAACCAGCACCACTACCTAAGGCCAGAATATCTTCATTCACCTCGAAAAAGAAACCCCTTACCCATTAGCAGCTACTCCCTTCCTGTGTGTGTGGATTTCGCAATGCTGGACATTTTGTGTATGTGGCACCGCATGGAATGTGACCCTTTGGGTGTCACTTCTGTCACTCAGTGCGGGGGTTCCAGGTTCATCCACATTGCTGTGTGCATCCGTGCTTCATTCATTCCTCATTATGGCTGATTACGTTTTCTTTTCCTTTTTTGAGACGGAGTTTTGCTTTTGTCACCCAGGCTGGAGTGCAATGGCACGATCTCAGTCCACTGCAACCTCCACCTCTCAGGTTCAAGCAATTCTCCTGCCTCAGCCTTCCAAGTAACTGGGATTACAGGCACACACCACCATACCCAGATAATTTTTGTATTTTTAGTAGAGACAGGGTTTCCCCATATTGGCCAGGCTGGTCTTGAACTCCTGACCTCAGGTGATCCACTTGCCTTGTCCTCCCAAAGTGCTGGGATCACAGGTATGAGCCACCTCGCCTGGCTGATAACGTTTTCTTGTATGGATTTACTGCATTTTGCTTATCTATTGCTCTGTCAATAGATTTTGGGTTGTTTCTACTTTTTGGCTACTGTGGGTTACGCTGCTGTGAATTGGTGCATTTTACGTTTTTGTGTGGACATAGGTTTTTAGTTGTTTTGGGCAGATATCTGGGAATGGAATTGCCAGGTCATGTGATAGCTCTGTTTTCCCTTTTGAGAAACTACTAGACTGCTTTCCAAAGTAGCTGTACCATTTTACGTTCCTGCCGGTGTTGTACAAGAGCTCCGGCCCCTCTGAGTCTTCCTCAGTGCTTGCTGTCTGCCTTCGTGGTCCTAGCCGTCGTGGTGAGCGTGAGGTGGCATCTCACTGTGGTTCTGATGGGCATTTCCCTGCCACCAGGGATGTTGCGTGTTGTTTGGTGTGCTTATTGGCTATTTGCAGACTTGTAGGAATGTCTTTTCAGACTCTTTACACACTTTTAATTGGGTCATTTGTGCCTAGGTGTCTCTTTGGTGACCCAGGTATTTATTTGGGTGAAGCAAATCCCTGGTAAATACCTGGTCCCTCCGTTGGGGCTCACAGGCCTGGGGCAGGCATAGCTATCCCCTGCTGATGGCTGAGGCCAGGCCCTGAGATGCTCAGCACCTCCAAGCACAAGTGAACCCTTGGAGGTGGACACGCCTTGGTTTGCTTCTTGGCTTTGCCCTCAACTCTGTCTAATCTTGGGCAAGTTACCTAACCTCTGTGAGTCTCCGCTTTCCCAGCTGTGATGCACCTACCTCCCAGGGCTTCTCAGAGCCACGTAAGTGACTAGCACTTTGCGGCATCTGAATTAGCAGACAGGAAACTCACTCTGTCCAGAGGCACATGGCCAGCCAGCCTGTCCGAAAGCTGGGACCAGGCCAGGCGTCGTGGCTCCCAATCTGTGCCTCCATCTGCCTCACCTCCTTCCCTCCAGATGAGCAGCCACTGCTGTGTGCGGCCCCCTCCTGACTGCCCCTCTTTTTGGTCTCACTGGGTTCAAGGGTCCTCCAAGCACCCCCGAGTCTTAGGCCCGACCTGTCCTCTCTGGCTTAGCTGGGGATCCTGCCAGTCTCTCCAGGAGATGCTTGGTCTCGATGGAGCCTCCTGAAGGCGAAGCCCCTCCTCTCCTCTCTGCCACCCGCCTCCCTGCCCTAGCCCTTCCCGTCTGAGTCCACCTGTCTCACCTGTCTCACCTCTTTCTCTTGTTCTTTCAGACAAAATGGAAGCCCAGCTGGGCTACATGGATGAGAAGGACCCGGGGCTGCAGAAGCCAAAGAAACCCCTGGAGGTCCAGGTGTGGAACTTGCTGGCGTCTGGGTCTGTGGTGCGTGTGGGGTGGAGGTTGGGTCTTGGGACCTTCTCAGGCCTTGCACAGCCAGGTGGAACCCAGAACTCCTGGGTCCCTTTTCAAGCCTCTGGGTCTTGGGGAGCAGGCTGGGAGCAAGCGATGGAAGCCAGGAGAGTGGGTTCCCAGCCCAGCGCACGTTCCCTGCCCTCTGTTCCTGGTGAGGCCCCAGGCCCTGCAGCTTACCTGGTTTCCCCTCTGCAGGCCCTGCCAGCTGCCTTGGACAGAGTGGAGGGCGAGGGCATGCACGAGAGCCCAGCCAGCAAGGAGAGAGCCCGCGAGGAGCGGCCAGAGGAGAAGGAGAAGGCCCCGCCCTCCCCAGAACAGCTGCCTAGAGGTTGGGGCTTCCCGCAGGCCGCCCACTCCAGTGCCATGTCTGGCCTCAGCAGGCCCGGGTCAGGGAAGGGCAGGTGGCTGTACTTCAGCTCATTTCTCGCTGGCAGAGGGGCAGACTCCATCGCTCTGCAGGCCCCCTGGTGAGGGGAGGGCAGGCGCTCAGCTCTCCATACATGGACTTATGGACTGGAGAAAGGGTCTTACTCTGTCACCCAGGCTGGAATGCAATGGCACAATCTTGGCTCATTGCAACCTCTGCCTACCGGGTTCAAGGGATTCTTATGCCTCAGTCTCCCGAGTAGCTGGGAGTACCATGTGCCACCACACCCAGCTAATGTTTTTTCTTTGATTTTTAGTAGAGATGGAATTTAACCCTGTTGGTCAGGCTGGTCTCGAACTCCTGACCTCAAGTGACCCACTCACCTTGGCCTCCCACACCTTGGGGATTATAGGCGTGAGCCACCTCGCCCGATGGTCTTTAACTTTTCTTTATCATACAGAGATTGGGGCTTATTGGACTACTTTCTTATTTGTGATTTCTGACTCAGTTGCATTGTGGTCTGAAAATAATAGTCTGTATGAGGTTGTTGAAACCTGCTTTCTGGCTTGATATAGTCAGATTTTGCAAATGCTGTATATGTGCTTGAAGAGAATGTCTGCTCCCTAATGGCTGGGTTTAAGGTTCTAAATATATGTATTAGGGCCAGGCATGGTGGCTCACGCCTGTCATCCCAGCACTTTGGGAGGCTGAGATGGGTGGATCATCTCAGGTCAGGAGTTTGAGACCAGCCTGGCCAACATGGCAAAACCCCATCTCTACTAACGATAGAAAACTTAGTTGGGTGTGTTGGTGGGCGGCTGTAGTCTCAGCTACTCAGGAGACTGAGTCAGGAGAATCGCTTGAACCCAGGAGGCAGCGGTTGCAGTGAGCCAAGAACATGCCATCGCACTCCAGCCTGGGCGACAGAGTGAGACTCCATTGCAAAAAAAAAAATATATATATATATATATATAATATATATATACACATATATATATTATATATATGCATTAAATCAGTAGATAATGGATGCTAATTATGTTGTTCAAGTTTTTAATATCTTTACTAGTATTTGGTTTGCTTTGATCAGTCAGTTTCTGAGAGACTTGTGTTAAAATCTCTCATTTTGGTTACAGATTAATCTCTTTCTTCTTATAATGCCAGATTTTGCTTCATCTCATTTGAGACTGAGTTGTCAGGTGCATATTTGTTTAGGTTTTTTTTTTTTTTTTTTTTTGTTGAACAAAATCTACAAAT